GTACCACGTGCAGACAACCAGCTATTGGCACGCACAAGCAATGCATTCACGGACTTCATTGTCCATGAAGGTTTGCACTTAGATCTTGGGCCACTATGCTAAAAATATTGGCCTTGTATATGAGAGATCTGTTGTCTCCATGCAGCCATTACTTGCTATGAGTGATGAAGCAAATTCCTGGTATTTCTGTCACCATCTGTGCCTATGTACTTTAACAAAGATAATTGAAATTTATCCTGAGCAACTTGATCTCCCTTGCTCTGGGTGTAATGCAGGCTATCATTTTGAATGGCTTGAGAAATATTTTTTCTACCATGTATGTGGTACATAAGGTGAGGAAGAAGCCTTAGGTAAGGTAGCCTAACTAAATACTTTAAGTTGCTCTTAGAATATAGTATGTTCTGGCAGAACAGCTGAGTACAGCTTGTGGAGGTGCTTAATAATAATAATAATAACAATAATAATAATAATAATAACAATAATAATAATAATAATAAATAAGAATAATACATAAAAATAAAAGTGTTCCAATTGTGAAAGCCAGGGAAAATAGTAAGACTCATCATTCTGGGTTCACAAACCACTCATATTGCATGCAACAGCCACACATTCTACATTTGATGCACCCTGCGGTCTGGAAATTAGAATCACAAGGTATGCTGGGAACCTGGAAGCAAAGGGGACTACAGGGACTCCTCTCAGCTGGAGTCTCAGCTTTTGCCTCTGCTGAGCCTGCCACCACACGTGCTATTAACATTCATTATATGAGAGTGTTTTTGTGATGTGGGTGCATCTCCACCTGGAACGAGTTGAAAAAGCATAAAGGCCATCAAAGTGCTATCAGATGTTATTAACGTTGAGCCCACTAAAATCTGGACTACATCTGAACTACTGGCACACAGATGACAAGTCCTACATCCCATTAAGAATTTCCTGAATCCTTAGACGTATTACTCATGTAAAAGTTGCTTCTGAATGGGTTGTCGTTCTTTAAATGACAAAGCAGAGAGTAAGAGGAATATTTCTGATGGTTTCATTAATGCCTTTTCGGTTCAGTGACCGTATCTTCTTTCTGCCACTGTTTTATCTCTCAGGAGGCTTCCTCGCACAAACTCCTCTGCCCTGCCTGGGGCTGCTGATAGCGAGACCTGTGCCGGAGCCCAACCGCCCCGACCACCGTGCTGATCTAAGAAGGGCTCTCCAGCTGTGGGCTGGCTGCACAAACCTTCCCCAGCCCAGAGGCACCAGCCCTCACCGTATTGTCGGTCTCTCAAGCATCTCTTCACCATATTTATGTCTATACAGAAAATGGCTCCTTCCTCGGCTGTGGCTGGCATTTTCTCCCTCTACCCCTTCTGCCCAAGATAATTTTCTGCCCCTTCCGCTCATTCCTCCGTCCCTCCCTCTGTAACTCCCACACCAGGAATACCCTCCTCTCCACTCCTAACTGCTCGTGACAGCTGCCATCTTGGCCCAATCAGGAGTGATTGATCCAGCATCCTTCAGCGCCAAGCGCATTTGATCTGTAAAGCTCTCCAGCTGGGTCTGTAATAACTCATATCCTTTGTGGGTTACACATCAAGCAACTCTTTCCCCATCAGTCACGTCTTTCCTGATAGAAAAGTTCTTCCATGAAGCCCTTCACGGCCAATCCACCATCTCATGCAGCACGTGATGGAAAAAAGTTTTGTACTGCTTTGATGCAAATAAAGCTGATTTCCATGTCAATTTTGTTGAATAAAAACTTCTGGGGGCAGAGACTGTGAATTCTTCTAGGATTTAGGCCATGATAAGAGCAGTCAACTCATAAATATTTATGCCTGAGGCTCACTAAATGAACCACTACTCACTACTTTGTTTCATTTTCATTAACTCTCTTGCTGTATTCACTGAGCTACATTCAGATCCTGCTATACAGACCAAACCGCTGCAATCACTGTCAGCGCAAGGCTGCTGCGTACTGCTCTGTCATCTGGGCTTCCAGCTTCGATAGTAAGAAAATTAGAGTCAGATATTCCTGTTTGTATGAGATCAGTGTTTCAGTGCACCTGCATAGAAGACATAAATACCTTTTTATCTCTGACATTTGGGTGTGTGTCCAGCTCTCCAGCCTCCTTTAGGTTCACAACACAAGACAAATGACCATGTTATATTTGCTATAGGCTGGTTGTGTTGTGTTGTGTTGCCTAAATCACATTTTTTTGTGATATGTTTTGCAGAATCAGAATGTGCTGGTTTGCCTACGTTGCTCGCAAATGTGAAACTAAATATCTCTTCAGAAATTAGATTTGCTGAGTATTTTGTTAGCTATATAACAATCTGTTTTCATGCACTACAGGCACTAAAATCAGGTCAGAACAAGACCATGCAGACCAGTATTCTGTCTCAGAGACAGCGGGCTGCAAAGGAAGAACACAAGGACGGGAAAGTCTGTAGAAACGCTTCTTCCTCATCTGCCAATTTGGGACTCAGTGATTATCGAGCCAGAAGTGTTTGTACTTAATTGTTTTTCAAGTTTTCCTTTCATGATTTTGTCCCACCTCCCATTGATCTAATGTGACCTTTGAATCGCCACACCCTCCCATGCCAAGGAATATCTATGGCTTAATTATATGTTGCGTGAAGTACCATTTTCTCTTCTTTCTGTTTGTTTTCTTAAACCTGCCACATGCAAGTTTCATTTGGCCACCCTAGCTCTCGTAATGAAAGATGTTTAACAATCATTCCATCATTCCCTATTTCCCTCCTCTGTGCCCAAATAAAGTTACACATCTCTCTTTTAGTCACTCACCTCTTTCCAGACCAGAGAGCTACTCTTCATGTCTCATATGGAAGTTGTTCCCTATCTTTGTTCATCCTTTTCCCTGGCCTATAAACTTTTTCCAATTTTACATTTCCTTTGGGAGGTGAAGGACCAGAGCTGTGCATTGTATTCAAGAGGCAGGTGCACTGTCATTTTATAGAGGATCATGGCGATGTGATTTGTCCTCTCTCCTTCTATAAAATACATTTTTATCCCATTATAACCGACAAGTTCTATGTGAAGGAAAGCTGTTTACTGCCATCCCTTGGCCATAGCTAGAATGATCTGGTGCAGAATCCTTAATGCAAAAATCCAGCCAAAATTCCCTGACTTAAGTCCTTAAAGTAAATGTGAAGGTATCAAGGTACCACGTTAGTGAGAAGTCTACAGGGGATGAATTCAGGATGAATCCCTCTGCATAAATGAGATCTCACTGATATGAGAAAAACTAGTCAAATGATATAAAGACCAGTTCTTACTAATGCTGGCAGTGTTAGGCATATCACAAGGAAAAACCCTGAGGAGCAGGAAGTGCAGTTCTCTGATCCAAAGCCCATTAAATCATCCGAGTCTTTTCATTGATTTCTGAGACCTTTGGCACAGATCCAAAGTTCTACACTGATTTTAATCCAAAGACATAAAATAAAGTAATATGAGAGTAGTCTGAAGGGAGGGACTTTGTATGTGAAGCCAAAGTTGCGGCAAACATTAAAAAGTTAACCAGAGTTCCTTCCAGCTGTTGTATTCTTTATTGTTATTCTTATAAAGCACTTTTCCATATACTATCACTCATTATATATTTTACTTATCATCAGTATTTAAGCACAACGAATTATTTATAAGGACTGAATACAAATTACCATGTACATGGAGTGTAACAGAGATAAGATGCCATGTAAATATTCCGAAAATCTCAGCTTCAAATGGCAAATTTACCATGGAGAATAATGTACATTCTTTCATAATCAAGCATGCTTTACTATCTAAGGATGTTGTTCACATTCAGCAGGCATGCATATAATTTACAGGTTGAGAGGCAGTTAATTAAAGTCAGTGTTTTCTTTTATAGAGTGTGGGCTGGGTTTTTTTTAAAGAAAAAATTATCTATCATTGATAGCTCAATTCAGATTATTAATAATATAAGCAAAATCTTGAAGAAACAGCATTATTCACGTATTAATGCGCTCCACAAGTATATAACTGCAGGGTCCTCACCACATCCCAGTGAAACAGGTAGGCTTTCCTTTCTATGAGTGGGTCAAGGAACTCCCAGAAGTCAAGCAGTCTGTGCAGAGTAAAACCTGAATTAGGAGTGACGACTTCTGGGACCGGTGTCCCCAGACCCTCGCGCTCTTTTAACAGCAAAGAGATGGAGCTTTGTTCCACGGCTGTAGTCACCTTCAGGTTTGCTGTGTGCCTTCCCCCCTGGCCATCTCAGGAGCAGAACTTGTCATAAGCACTTGTATAGCTGGACACCATGAGACAGGTGGCAACTCTGGGCTGAGTACAGATACGATAAATCATGAGGGAAAAGGAGGGGGTTCAGCCCCGAATAGATGAACATTTTTCTGACTGATTTCTGGACAGGGGACAGAGAAAGAGGTGAAATTTCGATGTTCTTCCTTTCATTTTAAAATTCCCCTGGCTTACACAAAGGTGCAATGTTTGCAATACCTGCAGTCATGATGGAAGAGCAGCTGGGATCGTACTTCTTTCCCCCAAGTCTCTCTGATGATGACTCATATTGCAGCAGCATGCTGTCTCAGTTCAGTACCTACAGCCACAACCAAGCTGTCCCTGGCTGCAGACAAGGTGGCAGGACGAGACAGTGATCTGGGCCTTGCTTGAGCAAGTGCTGAAAAAAAAAAAAAAATCCTAAACTGGCTTGCTGTGGGAGGGAGGACAGAAAGGCTGCTGAAAGTCAGAGCTTTGCAGAAGTTGCTAGGGAGCACTAGCAAGGAGAGTCTTCTGCTTTTTCATCATGCGTCATCTTTGGGAAGATGAGACCCTGTTGGAAAGTACTCCCTGGAGATGCCTTCATCAAAAGTCTCCTGAGGTATTCAGCCATTTTACAGTAGATTCTCAGAGGAAATCAGAATAAAATATGCCTCCTGTCAGCCCAAGGCAGAAATGCACAGGAACAGTTTCATCTCATTGCAGTTGCTAATGCTTACAAGTGAAGGAGAAATGACTGCTCTTATTTTGGATATACTTTCTTTGATGGCACCTTTTTCTCCCCACAAAAGGAAATCACCTTTTTATACAAACCAATTAAGCGGTCTTGGCCCAGCTTAAAAGCAATGAAGACAATTTCCATGCCAATAATAATATAGAGGGAAAAAAACAAGAAAAACTTGGGATGTTCCAGTTGTGTATCGCCAAATCCAATAGTTGTCAAGGTGATAAAGCAGAAATAAAAGGCTTCCTGAAAATCTAACCTGGTTTCCCAGTTTGGAAGAATAGCAGCTGCACAGGAGATGTACACAAAGATAACTAGCACCATTAATACAATGGGCACATCTAATTTTTCTAACTGTTTCCCTATTTTGTCAAAATTCTCCATTACTCTGGACATTGTCTTTCCCCTGGCTAGTTCGGGACATGAACTCCATCTCTCAATGCTTTTATTTCTTGCTGGTTTTGTGTGTTCATTTTCTCTGGCAATTAACATTTCAAAAATTTCAGCATTGCGATATTTGGTTGGCTTCTTTTTAACACCTGGCTGACTTTTCAGCACTTCCATAATAGTCAAGGGCTCATTGATGACTACTTTAGACTGTGTTCTTGATTTCAGTTCATCCCCTTTGTTACATGTGGATCCAGAACAGAGTTTAGAGGCTAGAATTTTTGACTGTAGTTTTCTGAATTCATTGTAAGACTTGGATAAGACAGTCGCAAGGATGTCTCCCATGTCTGTCAGGACCAAGAACATCAGAGGGATGCCAAATAAAGCATACAACATACAGAGATATTTTCCAATCCGTGTCACAGGATAGGTATTACCATAACCTTGAACCAAAACAAAAAGAGGAAGAGAAGGGAAAGGGAGAGAGAGAGAACATTGTGATTTATTAGGTATTCACATCCTCTGAGCTTTTCATTGCTGTCAATTTTAAAGGTCAATTTTTAATCCAGAGCATACTGTTCTTTTTGGCTTTGCTTTGAAGCTATTAAAATTTCTGAGTCTCAAATGCTAGTTACTAATGCAGGCATCCTACCTCGTCGACCACTTGGAGGTTTAGAGTTTGCCAGTTCTGTCGAATTAACTCTTCCTACCTGATCAGCTGTTTGACTTAACTGCCTGACAACAAGAGGCCATTTAGGGAGGAGAAACAAAAGGGTTGGGGCCAGCCCGAGACCGGTCGGGGTGCAGCCTGTGTCCTGCTGGAGACTGTTATCAGGAAGATTTCCTGACCTGGGAATTGGGGTTAAGAAGGATCCAAAAGGCAAGACAGCAAGAGAGGTCTCGTGTCCATGGGTCTCTCCGCAGGGAAGTCGAGCTGAGGGCTGAGCTCAAAGAGACCACAGCTGATACTGGGGAAGGTAACGGACTGTGTGTGAGGAGCTGGGGAATCATCTCCTGGCCAGCCCCCAGGACCTTACAGCATGACAGCATGATTTCTGGGCATGAAACTCCTGGAGCTCTGGGAAGATTCAGATCTGGATGATTGTCTGAATTTTGAACCTGGGACAGCACTATGGATCAGATTGGGACAATGAGATCCTTATCTCAAACTTAATTTCTTTGCCAAAACTCCTTGTGACGAATGGTAAGCTAATAACAGACTTTGAAATTGCCCCTAGTTCATCAGCTCTAGCTCTAATGGCATATGTTGTATTGACATTGTGTTTGCACTGACTTCACAGGTTTCAGAGTCTCTTAAATGTGCTCAGAAAAACAAAGGATCAAGTGAGGAAGCATATGTTTATCACATGAGGAAATGCATGTTCATTCTAGAGTGCTAAAGCTTACAAATATAAATTACAACAAATAGGGAAGTACTACCAGACTCATTGCCTTTATTATACATAAAATGGTAGCAGAAGAAATACCCTTCTCCTAAATTCAATTTTGGTATTTATATTTCCTTCCTCTAACATATTGGATATGAAACTTAAATTGTAAGTTAGTGCTTTTCTATTACAGTGGGAGAAAACATCAGCATTATATTAATTGTATTAAATTTTAACAACCATTTATCTTCTCATCCTCCAAAAAGACATAAAGCATTTCTTCTCTCCCTTCACAAACATTGTTCTTTTCTAGATAATCTCCCAGGGCAGGTACTTGGCCTGTAAGTTTGTTAGCTCATATGCTGAGCTATGGTTTCCTTCATTTTCTTCATCCATTCATGTTTGTTTTCACTAACGGCTGCCATGGCCTTTGGTCTGAATCCAACCTTGGTCCCTCCTTTGCTGCAAGGCACTGAAAAACTGTTTATTCTCTGTCACTCTGTTCCCCACTGGCTAACTGGGAATTCTAATCCTTACTGCCAAAGCAACTGGGGAAGATTAATTATTGCAGTTATTGTACAAAGTGATTTTCCTTTCTTTTTTTTCTCAATTTCCATGCATTAAAAGTACCTAGTGCAGTTTCAAGGGTTAAAACTTACTTTGAGCTTAAATTTAGCTATCCAGAAATCTAGCCTATCTGAGCCACTAGGCAGCCTCCGTGGGCAGTGAAGAGATAGCAGTTCAGACCACCAACCTTCAGACTAGATACCTCGCTTCTCCTAAATAATTAAAGATAGCTAAGCTGACTCTAACCTGAAGTGACTTATCCGTTCCTAATATTGCAAATAACAAACCCACCACAATGGAAATAGCCACCTATTAGCAACAAATATTCCAGGCTTCCTACTGATCCCCAAACTTGCTCAAAACCTGAGGAAGCTGTGCTAATTCTCAGTGCTATGAAGGGCAAAAATAATGGCAGTTTAGAAATAAATATGTTGGGTCAGTGTGTATGGGGACATTTGTAAAGTCCTATGTTAATGGAGATGGGTAAGTATACCCAGGCAAGAAGTTTTCAACAATATGGTTTCTCATCAGTTTGCTGAAGTCAAAGCTTTCTGATAGAATGTCCTCTTTCAGACATTCCCAGCTGATGGTTTTGCACCAGGAAATATTCACTGGGGTGAGAATTCTGGTCTGCATCTCCAGTATGTGTCTCTGACGACCTAGATGACTTGTCTTCGAACTCAGGGGCTGCAAGAAGCCGAGTTGGACCTGTCACCTAAGACATCAGAGTCTGAGGTTCAAGCCTCTGCTGTGACTTAGGCAGCACACAAGGGTCTCCTACGTGCTCCAAGGGAGTACATTAACTCTCACGCTATTCCTTGTATAGGATAAGCTCTTTCTTAAGGTTCAGATTTTCTTTTGCATTAAGGTACATACCCTTGCTGGGATCTTGAGTATATCCTAATGCAGTGGAGAAATGTCTTTGCAATTTGATACAATGCTGTGGGACTATTTCCCATCCAGCTTTGATTCTGACAAATTTAGATAATCAGTGTCTGTACTTGCCAGCATTTGAGAAAGATTAGCAAAGGGATACAAGCAGCTTTGGGAATGAGCATGAGGAGTTTTATTTAGCAATGCAGAGGGAGCCAAAACCAGAAAAGAGGTTCCTATTTGATCTAGGTCCTCCTTTGAAATATGAAGTCAGAATGAAATATTTCAGAGGTATGACTTAAACATTGCCGTGTGCTGTTAACCCAGAGAAGTGTGAACAACAGCATGGTTAATTATAGAGCCATAGATTTACAAATCTCGGTTAGACATAAATAACAGGGAAGCAATTGAAAAGCAGTGTATGCATAATGAATTACCTCTTCCAGTGAAGAAAACGTTACCCAACATAACACACAATAGTGGGAAGGATCAGGTTTGACTGAAAAATGGAGCTTTCTTTTCACTTTAATAGTTTTGTGTATGTCATATATGAGTACATGTTATAGTATGTATGTAATGATGCAGCTAATCAGCCTGTACCATCACTAGTTACTAAATTCTGGCTTGCTTCTGTGACTCAGCTACATGTGTTTGCAGAACCCCTTGCAGACTCATCGTCAATACTCAGGGGAAAAATTCAAGGGGATTTGGGTTTTGGGTTGGTCTGTTGTTTTTGTTTAAATTCCCTGGAAGAAAGGCATTAGAGAAAGCAGCAATAACAATTGGTTCTGCAGGGGGTTACTTTACCTCTGAACTTACCCACAGTTGTGAATACTGTGCAGCAGAAAAAGAGAGACCCAAAGAAAGTCCATATATCTTTTGGATTGACAAACCAGTCTCGTTCAGCTGTGTTGAGCAGTGCATGGATTTTTTCCTTAAATAGCTCCTCATTTTCTGTCATGTTATCTGTTACAGTAACAACAGGAGATACGGTGAGTGTTTGCAGACCATCACTCAGGGAGCAGGCAGCCTGTTATTCCAGTGAAGTTTACTCCAGCTGAGGATTTGCTCGTACTCTTTTAAAAGATAAAAATATTCACCTCACCCTCCCCTTCCCCCCACCCCCGAAAAAAAAAAAAAATCAGGTGGGTCCAGTGGCTTTGTTGAGTAAAGAAACAAGCGACAAATAAACAAGCTATGCTCCAACAAAGTCAAAATATGACACGAAAAATAAGCGTAAAGAAGCAGTGCACCTACTGGGATGCTTGCCCCAAACAGATCTCACACACACAGCTGCTGCACAGCTACCTGAGTGAAAGTCCAAGCCCATGTATGAGCCCCGACACAGATCCAGGAGGATTTCTAACCCTTCTCCTCCCCTCTAACTCCTCCATCAGCACCACCGGGTCCGGGGCACAGCCCTGTACCTGCCTCCATCCGAGCATCCCAGCGCCAGAGGGCTGGAAGGAACACTCAGAGCTGGGAAGAGGGAGCTGGAAGAGACTTTCCAGGACAGTAGATTCAGTCCCCAGCAATCAGAGGGAAATACCATGGGAATTTCAGCTGTTCTTTAAGGGCCTCGGGTAAGTTGGACAAAAGGGAGAACACAGGCACCTCAGGAAAAGTCTTTTCAGGCAGGAGCACAGGGACCAGGGAAGCTTGCGGTCAAAATCACAGCTAAGGAAGACAAGCAAACAACAGCAGGTAATATTAGGTAAGCAGAGGGAAAATCCTGTTTGCAGGTTCAGCTGTCACTGCTTTGAAGAAAGTCTTCAAAAGCCAAAAATCTCATTCAAAAAGCAAGAGAATGAGTAACTCCCTGTACAGTTAAGTAATTTTGAAATTCCAGTACATACCTGATAAATTTCTGGAGATGTGCCACAGATTCTGCAGAAATTTTCTATATTCTTCACTTAAATTGACCTTCCGGTTACCTTCAATGTGGGAAAACATGAGAGCCCCAAGAAAAGCGTAGATCACAAGAGAGAGAATGAAGCAAGCATGAGGAAACACTGCCCAAAATATTTTTTTACATGCCCTTTTACCTCGCAGAGGCTGTGATGTTGATGCCATCCTAAGCTTGCTCTTTTTTATTTTCTTTTAAATTTTGTGGAGAAGACACAGCTTTTAGAAACAAGGATGAGGATGTAAAAGCTTTTGCATCCTAGAAAAGCTTCTCCTGCGACAACAAGGATTGTTCTGCCTCAGGCTTTCAGATCACATGTCTTTATAAGTGAAGATTGCACTATAGTCCCAATGGAAAAGGAGCACAACTAATCAAGCCTTGAAATATTTCTCAGTTGATGATATGCCACTCCATCCCTGAATTACTATTGATCAGCCAGTGCTGTAATGCACACAGATTCTGTGGGTTTCCATTGGCACCAACTCATGTTTAAAGTTTCTTGTTCTGAACTACGGTTTCCCATTGATATAGTAGAAACATTTCCAACTCCCAGGAGGGAAAATGCACACTGTAAGGGATGGATTTCTTTAAAGATTTCTCCCAGAAATGAACAGGGAAATTTAAAATTAATCAAAAGAAAGGATTGGCATTAATTATTGTCACCTCTGGGCAGACTGTAGAACAATTAATTTCTCTTTCAGATGGCTTAAAGAATCTCTCTATATATACCATGTAATCTTTGTAGGGGGGCTGTCTTGAATTTTAAAGGATTTTTCTCAAAAAAGTCAATAAGGTTTCGCCCAGTTCTCACTTGATTAAAATCTTCCTATTAATTGAAATTCCCAGTGACCCTAGTAAGTACGAACTGCAGGATTCAGTTCAAGGTTAGTGATCTTTGCAAACTATATCCAACTTTAAAAATAAAACCTTTCTTTTCATCCATCACTCTAAAACTTAGAGCAATGAGCAGTATCGCTGTTCTTTACAATGTTAGTAGTGGTAGTAAGGGGAGTTGGACTTTACAGAAAGAGGTGTTAAATATTTCATCTCTAGGAGTCTTTCATTAAAAATTCAAACAGCCTTGTGCAGCCAAGACCTACTGAGCTGTATACAAGCAACATGTCCATACTGCAAAGAAATCCTACATGTTTATAGTGATTTCTTCTAGGTCAAACTTAGCAAATTGCATCACAAGACATTATATGCTCATCAATATGGAAGACTCCACTATAGAAAAGAGGCTTTCAGGGCTAAGACAAAAATAAGCCTGTGTGCTTGCTACTTTTCTGGTAATCTGCCTCATTGACTCAGTCTTGCTTTTTGACAACACATTTGTAAATCCTCTTATTGCAGTCAATCTCTCTTTTTTTTTTTTCCCCATTGACCTGGAACACAGGGTTGAAAACTGCTAATGTTCATAATTAATCAAAAGCAACAGAACTTCCCTAGAGGTTGTACTTAGAGATAATGTACTTAGGTTTGGTGTCCTTACCAGAGGAGCAAAGGACACAGAGAAGTCAAAGGGACAGCTGGAAAAGTGAAGAGGCTGTAGGCAGTGGGATGCTCCATGCTGGAGGCACAGCGCTGGCTTCTCTTGGAGAGTTTTGTAGAGACTGGGTACCAGTGTTATAGAAATTGATAGAGTTTACTTGGATTGCTAAAGAAGTCATGATGAAGTCCCTCTCCAAATGTTTTTAAGGGAATTAAACAGCTATGGCATAAGAGAGAAAGTCTTCACAAGAAGAAATCAATGGTTAATGGAGAGGAACAGAGGGCAGGAATAAAAAGCAGAGGAAGATCATTGGTGGAGTTATGCATGGGTCTGTGCTGGAGCTCTGCTGTTCCACCCATTCATAAATGACCTGGAAAGAGGGTAAACAGGGAAATGGCAATGTTTGCTGATGGCATGAAGTTGTTCAGAGCAGTGAGACCGAGGGCAGATTGGAATTGTCGGAGAACCTGAGGATGCCTAGGAAAGAAATGGCAGATAAAAGCAATGTAGATATGTGTAAAATGGGATAAACGATCCTAACTTCACATACAAAGTGATGGGCTCTGGGCTGAACATCACCACAAACACATCAGCCCAACAACTAATCGGGGTGAAGAGGTGAAGTATATGTTTGGAATGATGAGTTAAAAACAGAGACTAAAACATTGGACACCTATATACTACTGTACAAATGTATGGTTTGCACATACCTGGAGGAGTCAGTGTGGTTCTGGTACCCTGCTCTCAGATAGCACATATTAAAACTGGGAAAATTTCAAACAGCAACAAGGATGACTGAAGGTATGGACAACTTTCAGACAAGGAATGACTGAGTAGTGCCTTTGGCCAGGGAGAAAAAAAACAGTAACCGAGGGAGTATATAACAGCAGTCTTCAAATTCATGGGTGGTCTGGAGAGAGCAGGTGAGGGATCAACTGTTTGTAGTCTCTTCTGGGACCAGAATTGGGGACCATCAAATGAAGCAAGTAGAAATCTGCTTCAAAACAAATAAAACAGGATGGTTTCTCACATAGCTGGAAAAGTCTTCGCCAGAGGATGTTGGGTTTGCATACATTAAAGAAGAGGACGGAGAGATATTTAGAAGAACAGTCATTAATACTGACTACAAATCACAGAGGGTTCAATAACCCTCTGAACTGAAAATAGTTTGCAGCTGAAACAGTGAATCCGGGCACTGGGCCAAATGGGCCCTATGTCTGAGGCAGTATACTCACTTTTATGTTCTTCTAAAAAAGGTTTTCACTGCCCAGTATGGTAATTCTGACACAATCTGTCCTATGGATTTTTTCATCTGCATCTCAGATATAAACCTCTTTCCTCCAAAGTGCTTTAAAATCTTCTCAGGCTCCTCCCATACGTGGTAGGACTGCAAAGTATTTAGCAATTCCCAGGAGCTTCTCAGCCATTTGCAACATCAGGCTCTGAGCTTGTGACAATGAGAAAATTTAATAAAAATATATCCAGAGATGATTTTTACATTATTTGCTTAATCTAAACCATTTCCCACTATTGCTGTATTACATATTTGAACTCAGTTGCTTAAAAGCAAATCCCACTAACCACAAGTTATTCCAAATTGAGTTACTGGTACTTGTATTGAGAGAGATTTTTGCAATACACATTTCCTATTCACGATAATGGACAGCAAACCTGCACTTTTCCTAACTTCCATTTCTTTGATTAAGACAAATGTGAGTGCTCTGAAGGTGCTGCTTGAAAGGAAAGTTTGTGACCACAGCTGCAAAGTTTAATTATTCCAGTACAAATATACGTGTGTTAGAATTCCTACTTTATCTGATGTTCCTGGATTACAAAGGTTAAACCAAGAAGGTCATTGTTTGGGCAGTGAGATGTTTTTCAATAATCAGTAAAACTCTTCCTGCATCAAGCCATCTACATGTTGTCAAAGACCTGCTGTGTTTACTTCTCTTCTGTGAAACACCGTTGGATTCAGCATACTGCACTGACAAATATTCAATAGCGTAACGCCTTCTGCTTTTTTGAACAAAACCAAAGTGACTAGAAGGAGGGCAAATGCCTTACAAAAAAAATGGCAGTGGACTAAATTGTTTGCTTTTGTTTGCATCCGGCGTTGATTCTGATGGGAATACTGTTTGATAAAGGACTAAGACCTCAGCCTGGCAGTACTTCATGACAATGAGAATTAAAAACGTACAGTTCAAGATTGAATGTCAACAAGGATCACGGAGGATTTGATCTATTGCTCTAGCATATGCCTCCAGAAAGTATTTCCAGAATGCACTAATATACCTAAGCTCCCCAAGAAAACGAGTGTTTCTGTATAAAGGTGATATCAAGCCCAAGCAGAAAAAACCCACCCCAAAGCAACAAAACCAAGCAGCAGCAGTAGTTGTATTAAGAAAGCAATCTCAAGGCTGTGTAAAGATTAGATTTGATCCCCAGACATAAAGACACCCCACTTGGTGAGCAAGGTTAGGGGGGTGTCGGTGAGGTTTCAGCAGTAGTGTCCGTGAGCACTTTCAAAGGACTCTTTCCACTTCCCACCCACTATGCTTTCCCCTATCCCCTCCACCCCTCAGGCTCTTCAGAGCTGTGCCTGTGGGATTTCAGCCCACACTGGGGCGCAGAAGCAGTGCTGGCCCAAGCCCAGCCCCAACACCGACACATGACTTTTGTGCAGCGCGTATATATCCTGCCAGATGAGCGACGCGTGCTTTTCAGGTACCCTGCAATTATTTTTCTCCTCCTGACCCCAACCATATTCCCCCGGACTATGAGTTCCCAATACCTCCTGTTCTTCCCACTGTCCCCTTACACCTCTCACTGCTGGGATGGAGAGAGAAATGCACTAATTGGCTGCACAGGGTCTAGGGGATACCCAGGAGAAGGTTTAGCTTCCTTTGTATCCATCTTTAAAAGTCTCAGCTTTCCCGTGAGTCAAGTGCTTGAGCTTGTAACCTCTGGGAATATTTGAGAGCACTCAGGACTAGCATCCTGGCACTGCATATAATGCTAAGTGCATTCAAAGATGTCCAGGACTCTCACCCTGAATAGGAGCATTTCCTTTTTCAGTCTTTGTTCACACCAAAGCCAAGCAAGTGGTCCTATCATTTCATTTACGAGAGGCAAGCACTCTTCATATGCCCCAGGACCAGCCAAGGCTTGGGTATTAGCCTCTGTTCCTCCTCTTTTTTTAGCATGGATGAAGTCACACAGCCAGAAACCACCTTTGATGGGAGGCTTTTTTACCTGGTGACTAAACAGCAGGACCAGCCTCCGTTCATTCACAACCTAACCAGCCGCTTCTTTATCCCCTCTCCCCCAGCCCCAAATCATTGCCTGGGTAGACAGACTTCACTTGCCCCTCTTCTTTCACCCCTTCCCCAAAGCGGAGCAACCAGCAATAGTCTAGAAGGAGCAGAGCTGCGCCCTCAGGCACGCACCCAAAATGGGAAAATTTTTATCCCTTCCTCCTTAGGGAGCTTGTAACCTCAACGTCGTCTCTCTCCTGGAGGTTCATGTGCGATTGCACCCGGGAGCCAGGGGTGCAAGCATGCACTGAGGGTTTGGTTGCTGCAAAACTCGGGTTAACGCCGCTGCAGAGCTCTGTGGCAGGCTCTTCTCCCTCCTTCTGCTCATTCTCCTGTCTGAACCATGTGCTAAGCGAGAATA